CAGCATTAGAAGGAATATATAAGGATCTGGAATTAGGAGCTGCTAAAGTAGGGTTACATGTTAATGAAAGGAAGACTAAATGGATGATACAAAGTAGAGATAGACAAAGAATAACGATCCAGCCTAACATGACATTGGAGATATTCCAAGAAGTACAAGAATTTAAATATCTTGGAACAATCCTGACAAGTAATAATGATGAGTTGACTGAAGTACAAAGTAGAATAACAGCAGCAAATAAAATATATTTTGCGTTAAAAGGGATTATGAAATCTAATTGTGTACATAAAAGCAGTAAAATAAGGATATATAAGACCATCATCAGGAGTATCCTCTGCTATGCAAGTGAGCTCTGGACACTGACAAAGAAAACAGAAATGATGCTGGGCACACTTGAAAGGAAGATTTTGAGAAGAATGTTTGGACCAGTACAGGAAAACTCAAAGTGGAGGGTACACTACAATCATGAGCTATATAGACTATATAAAAGTTTAAACTGAAAACGTTCGAATGGGCTGGACATGTCTATAGGATACCCAAAAAAATATTGGAAGGAACAATATATGGGAGAAGGCCAGTGGGAAGACCTAAAGGCAGTTGGCTGGATGCAGTGACGACTGACTCCAAAAATCTCCTTGGAACAGCAGCTTGGAGAAGGATAGCGTTGGATAGAGAGAATTGGAGGAAAAAGATAGAGGAGGCTAGGGCTCGATTTTGGGCTGTTACGCCATAGTAGTAGTAGTAGTAGCCTTTGCGTTTGACATGCTTGCTGTAAATGATCAAAATTTTAGGTGAGGTTTTACCCTGACAAACTGGACCATTCCCTTGTAAGTGGGCAAGGAATTTGTGCACCCTGCCAATGCTGCTTCTCATCTGGCAACATTGATGTTGGTGCCCACAACCCACCATCCTATCAAGGTATGTTTCCATTTGTGAAATTTTGCGTATTTCAAAGTAGAGTAGGAGTGCAATGCTGAATTTTGAATATATTGTTTATCATCTATGACTACATGTTTGGCATACTTAACAAGTGTGTGCGAACTGTCAGGCCTGAGTAAAAGAGGTATGCAAATGGGAATTTTTCACAATATAACAAAATTGCATCTTATTTCACCTCAGTTACCTGAGGATCATCAGAAGCTGCAACTCCAATATTAATACTCTTCAGAGTCCTCCTACAGATGGTAATATATACAAAGGTTCATACTTAAAACTGTTAATAGTTCTGAGATATGTAACATTATGAACTCTCATTGTTTATGAAAATGATGGAAGTTTAAACTAAAATACATAATCAAACTGCATAACAAAACCAATCAATTAAATATGCCCCAAATCTATTGTCACAGATCCACAATTTCAGACAACCAACTTACCTTAATCCAGGGGTGTGCAATCCTTTCAAACCATGGGCCACAAGTCTGTGAATTCACATTCATGTGGAACTGGAAAATACTACATTGCCTATATTACAGAAAACTATTACATGATTGCAGGTGGGAATAAAAAAAGAAAAAATGTAACCTGTGGGCTGTACATTGCACATCCCTGTCTTAACCCTTCATAGCATGCGATGAACATTTTAAACACGCACCAAGATGTGTGCCGATTCCAAAACAGTCAATCTTGTGTCCCTGTTCATTGAGACTTAGGATGGTGTCTTCATTGATGTCATTTGAGGCCACAATTTTCAGCTTAGCAAACCAAGGTATGTTGTACCTGAAAAATCATGCCATTCAAGATGTAATTTTCTACAGGTAATCTTTCAGAGCTTTACATTTTTACAATGAAACACAACAGTATGTGACTAAGAACAGAGCTTATGCACTTGTCTAACTAACATACACATCAGGCAAAATCAAGTGGATAAAATTTGTAAGTTGTATTGTGATGGTATTAATGAAGATTTAAAATATTGAATGCAGTTGTAAAACTCAAATTTAACTGTTATTTGCCTGTTCAAGAAATTTCTCACAAATATAAGAAGTGAAGTTACATCCCAATTAACACAAAAAATCAATATTAGATCCATTTTAAAAATATTTATGGAAGAAAATAATAATTTCTTACTGATGTGCTACTTTCTCAAAAGTTGATCGTGCCAGTTTAGACAAATATGCAAGATCACCACTGTCAATGCGAATTCCAAGGGCCCTGTAGTCAAGGTCATTAAGGGCCATGGCTACAGCACAGAAGTTGAGAAGCCCACTCCTGGAAGAAGACAATTCAACACATGTACTTATGTATATTATTAAAAATGCAAGAATCAAACATATCAAACAGCCATGTAAGTTACAATAACATATACCACACTGCACCGCAATTCCCTCACCAAAATTTGGACTGTAACAAAAAGAAAAAAAAATTGTAAATCCCCCCAGCATGCCCAAATACTAGCAGGTACACAAGCCCAATGCAAATATAAAAAGTGATCATACTTTTCAAAAATTCACATTGATGGATAAAATCATGTTCTTTCCTTGTTCTAATACTGAATCAGTGATCATCCACCATTTACAAGGTTAAACAGAACTGTATACAGCACTCAACTATGCAGGATTTACCATTCATTAGCACAACATTCTGTTTAGCCCTCTTCCTGCCCTTTCACTCACAGACCATGCTACACTGCCACACAGGTAATACACACAAAACAAAGGATGGCGCCCTCACACTACAAGAAACTTGGAGTTTTGTACTACTGTGGTGTAAACATGTGTTCTAATGAAATATCTTGCTTTGCCTGGATTATAAAATGACCAATCCCTTCTCAGACACTAAATTAAGAAAATAAAACAGATATTTATGATATGCCTTATCTTGTAACAGAATTGGTATCACTTTTGTCATCTTCACTGCCATGACAGTATCAAATATCAACCAAGCTTAATGTTTGCTGACTTTGGTGCATATCTGACTGCACTCACAGAAGCTTGAATGTTCTTTGTAAAGATGCTAGAAAGCAAAAATGTTCAATTTTATAACTGCTGCTACCATTATAGTTTTTAAAAGCACTTTTATATGGGCGATGGAAAAGTTAAAATAGCACAGAATATATAACAAGAAAGATACTTTTCACTTTCTTATGTTTAAGGGGATGGTAAAAAGATATAGGACATGGAGATAAAGGCAGAAAGGAATAAAGAGGGTAAGGAATGAAGATTTTAAAGAAATCGTTAATTGCCAGACTTCAGTGTGCCTTTCCACCCATATACAGACAGCAGCCTACAAAAAGCCCCACACAGCTACTACCAACATGAATGCCAGTATTAATGTAAATGTGTTATTTAGTTTCTGACTGCAATAGTCAGTCAAAAGCAGTGAAAATTTTTCTGGTATATTTTAAACCATATGTTCAGTGTAACTCCCATCAACCAGTATAAAACAGAAATGATGATGGTGATTCAGTCTGACTCTTTTTGTCTTAAAAACTACCAAACTTCTTTATAGTTCCTCAGATCTGCAAAACTGAAAATCCTCAATCGAGTCATACAAAGCAGCTGAAATATTGAATGCCACTACTTAATGAAGGTAAATTGGAAACCCGTGTTTGGCAACACTGGCATTCTGACCAACCACTTTACAAAATTATGCCACAAAAATGGAGTCAAAACACCTGCAAACTGAAAACAGTACAGATAAAATGCTTCTGAACTACTGTGCTTAATAGTTATGACAGCCACATGTGGATCCTGATTTCTGATTTCGATCAGTGTAGCACAGCATATAACATGTCACGCTGCCAGACAGGTGATGCTAAAGAATGCCTTTCTTAAGATTTTGGATTTATCATAACATGACCATGTTTCTATAATCTACTGTTTAATACTAACTAACTAGATTGCTTACGGAACCAAAAGGTTCAACACCAAATTAACCAAAGATCTCCACTGATCCCTGTCCTGGGCCAATAAAATCCAATCTCCTGCATTATTGAAGTTTCTCTTTGGCTGAAATTTTCCCACACCTGTTGATATCCACATGTTCATCATCTTTATCTTTCTCTAAAATTTTAAACCTATTCAAAATTTCAACTTGATATTGCTCCTTTACCTCTCCCTCATTTTTTTAAAAATAAAATCTTTCTTTGTTTAAATTTTGCTTAGTTCGTCTACTTACTGAAAGCCTATTCCTCACCTACATCGCTACCAGATAATGGTTACGTGTCACAGTCTGCTCCTTTGAATTACATCACATCAATTATAAATGTCTGCCTTCTATTATCTACTATCCACTAAAACATATCTATCTGACTGTAACTGTACACACAATATAAAATTATTTGGAATTACTAAAATCCAGACAGAAGAAGGCAATCTGTTCTTATATAAACTTTCTTTCTGTTTTATTTTTTTATCTCTTGTGGCAGCTGGTATGAAGAAGTATCAGCTTACTGATCCAGTAGTTAGAACACTGCATTCGTCCACATTTCATTATAGCCAGACAAACAAAAGAACCAAAGAAGACTTTTAAAACTGTCCATATAATGACAACCAAAGCAGTCAGTAAATCACCAAAAGACAGGATGCTCTCCATATGACAAACAATGCATTAAAATCATTATAATCATAACAAATCACTTTAAAATATGACTAAAAATGTTATCAATATGACAATCATCACCTGTAGGATGATGTAGATCCAACTTCTGAAACATTATGTATAAAAAGCATACTTCAGATTTCTGCTAATATAATCACGCTACAATGCTACACAAACTGACCTAGTTAGAATCCTTTCTATGCAGAACTTACTATCCAGTAATCTTAATCTTGATAACACGAGTTTTCAATCTACTTTAACAGACTCAACAATAAGTATGTAAATAAAACATAATAAACAGTTAAATCTGAAATAAAAGATAAAGCTGGCTACTTGAACAATGAAAACTGCTTAATGGACCTACATGTCCTGTTTAATGCTTACATCAGTGCACATCAATGTATGCACAGCCATCTAGTCAAAAATTAATAGTGGGGAATATATCTCGAACATTTCATACATATGGTCATGATCACTAAGTGATTAATATTTGTACACAATCATCACCAAAGTTAAAAAAACTGTGGCATCACTTCAAATGCATTTCATTGGCAAGACAGTAGTGCCTGCACCTTGTAATGTGAGAAGTGGCCAAATTTAAAACTTAAGAAATGACCACAAATACTGTGCACAGTAAGAGTTAATTTGCATACATTCAATTAACAACTGTAGCAATTCCATGGGGTATCACACAAGACACACTGTGCTAGGCACAAAGGTGCATTCTATCCATGGTAGTCCATACTAGCCCAATTGCAAATTCCATATCACTTTATGCACGATGATACCATCACCACAAGACAGTCTTCAGATGCATGCCATAAGCAGTGCCCAGTGTATGCATGTTAGCAGGTATGCAGCAGTGCAAGAATCTGTACACAAAGCACTATTGCTGGACCAATGACTGGTATCCCAACACCATACACAATGTCCTCCAGATTGTAATACTGATTTTGTTATATGGAATCAACAGCCCACAGTGATGTGTTTGTTCTCAGAAGGATAAAAAGTCATTTCATTAGTACAAGATGATGCTGCAGTTATGCCTAACTATCAAGACACATGGCTGTAACAAAAAATAAACTTCCACAAAAGCTTATTAGTCATTGTGGTGTGTCATATGAGAAAAATTACAGACAGGCTAAAAGATGGTAACAAACTCAAAAGCTACATAATTAATTTTATCTGTCACTTTTGTGTCTCCTGCAATGTTTGAGTGTGTTTGTTTTCAAATTCAGGGATAAAGCATGTTTCGTAGCAGAATAATGTCTAATGAATTTTTATGAAATACTGTTCATATAAACAGAAACTTCATGATTTCCTATGATAATGTCATTTCAACATGCAGACATTATACTTTGATATAAAAAACCAAATTCATCATCTGTGACAGTCTTACATAGAAAGTTTGGACCATTATCTGCTACATCTTCAGAACCTTAAAGATGGTGTGGTGCCCACAAACCAAAAGCTGCTACTCATTCTACAACAGTCTCTTTTTTTAAACAATAATCAAGGTACATAACCTCCTGCACAGTCTCACAAACCCTCATTCCACAATGCTGCAGTTGCCATCTTCCGACAATTCAGAAATATCACTGAAACTAAAATGAATTCCTCCTGGACTACCAGCCATGTTAGGTGGTTTATGAAGAAAACATTAAACCACCTTACATGGCTGGTAGCCCGAGAGGAATTCATTATTCTTTGTCGCTGTGAAAGCTTCAGTTCATACATTACTGAACCTGTGATGACATAATCATCTTCAGGTGATGCAATGTATCTTCACTACACACTGTCAGAAGCATCAGCTGTCACCAACTATCAATCACTGGCAGAATTATGATAGTATGTCACTCAAGGTAAACCACTGAATTTACTTGCCACAATGCCATTTATTTACCCGTGTCTCAGAACATTTTGATGCTACTGCACAGATTGTGCATTGTTAGAACAGTCAGGTTATTAAAAAGTCTTAATTTCTTTGCAATACTGACCATGTGATTTATCACCAAATACATATTTGCAAAACAAATATAGGAGCATGTATAAACAAAAAAATATTTATTTTAACTTTACTACTACACCTGCTGAAGTTCTTCTGGAATGTCACATACCAATTCCAAAGGTCCTCCTATAATTTCATCATGCTTCCAAAGTCAGAATTCAAATGCAAACATTTAAAAGTTTGCTTGCCACAAACTTCAGCAAGAAGTAAGGATGCAGACATGACAGCCACAGCTTCTTTTGAAACTATCCAATACAAAACAGTCTAACATGTGAGTGTACCCATCAATATACAATTTGTAAAACAAGTGTCAATGGCTGTGATCACTGATGCAGGACTTCCCCAGGTGATGGCTGTCTTCTGGGTTGTAGAGCTATGTAGACATTTACTAACGTTTCAATGCATCAGGGCAATGACTCATCGCCTGATGACAGACAGTAAAGACCTCTGAAATGTTGGTGAATTTCTACCAGACTACACGGCACTACAACCCAGAAGACAGCCATCATTAATCTTACTGCTGTGATAACCTCAAATACTACAACTTGTCCAGGCGTTTGCACCCCACAAGGCAGCCAAATATCCCTTACCACATCAGTGTTCAGGCTAACTGGTGTGCCATGTCACTCAAGGTTTGGATAATGCAGTGTACCAGTATATATAAGATCTATGTCTTCCACATTAAAACTAAGACACCGAATATAACCGAATCCTTAATTTTCGTAACTATCATTTTAACTATTATTAGTCTGGGCAAGAAAATAAAAATTGATATAATTTTGATATTGTTGTGCAACACAGCACACTTCTTACCCATTTAAACTTCCCACCCTTTAGCCCATTTTGCAAACAAAACACATTACTATGTGACTTCTTAAACTGTCACCTATTATTATGTTCTCCATTTTGATTGCCCCAATGAAAAACAGAATTGTTTCTTCTGTCAATGTTAACGCCCCACACACACACAAAATTATTGGGGATCAATTTTTACATACTCAAACATGCAGGCAGATATGGTAAGTCTTGTGTGTGTTCATGTCATGCACAAGATGCAAGAGAAGGGGGAGGGGGAGATGACTCACGACCAAGTATCACAGCTTTGGTTTTCTAAGGCCGCAGTTACAATAATTTTGAAGCAGTTCTCACACTCCCCTTTTGACACAAACATTTCCTGTGCAAGGTTTACAAGGCGAATATCCAAAGCCAAGCTCTGATTTTGTCCAGCTTTCCTTTTGTTAATATTTGATACTGAAGTCCTGGTTTCCTGTCTATTAACATAATAGTTGTTAAGTCATTACTGATAAGATACTGATACAATTTCTGTGGGGAACCTAAACCCTTGAAAACTTTCTTCTGAATTTCCTTAGTCTCACTAGTGGATTCACACTTCACATAAAAACACCAAATGCTCTTGTGAAAACTTGGCCATGTTGTACATAAAGGGAATTTAGCATAACAACGATGAATATTCACATCTCCTCTCATCATCACTACTGACTCACCAAGAACTTGCTGACTGCATCAGCTGACCAAGCAGGACAGTTGGAAATCAATGCAAAGATTGTATACAGTGGAAAAGTACAGCACTGACACAGCTTCCAAATATCTCTGTATAATCAGGTCTCCTTTCTGGTGGACAAATGCCTTCATCAAGCACAGAAATTAAAGAAACAAGGGAAAAAAAACTCTTTTAAAGCTGCTAATTTTAATCAATTTCAGGTAGTGCCAATTCATTTTGTTGGAAATCATACATACAACCCTGCTCCCTTGCCTCAACTCAGTACAAACAAATTCCTTTAATGGAGAATGGAGAACCAGCACACATTTTTAACCTCTTTCAGTACTATAAGACCCAGATATCTGATCACTGATTATCCAAGCCCTGTATAAGACCTGTAGCAATGGTGTGTGACAGTATGTACAGTGAGTAACAGAATGCCTTTCTGAGCACACCTGCAAGTTTCTGGAATCATGTCAAACAACATAAAACACAGCAGGACAAAAACACAAGTCTGTTTCAGTATGATTATAAAACATGCAAGTTTTGATGACCTAACATTACATGTGAAACATTTTTATGCATATCTTCCACAGTTACTTAAAATTGTGTAAATGGAGTGAAATGAACATGAGGGAAAATCTGTATCCATTCTCTTTTTCAAAAGTATCTTCCTGACTTCAGGGGTGAACAGATAAACAGAGATTTACAATAAAAGATAAAGTCAAAAGTTTGTTTAATTTTTACCCATTTCCTCACACACAACAATATTCATCCATATGTCCACTTCAGTTAATAAAACTAAAAGAACTAAATTCCTAGCAATCTAGACCACATGAAGCCCTAAGAACCCAGTGTGGCTGTAGTAATGTTCTGGCTGACCAGAGCTACAAATAAATTCAGCTTTTACATAAATGTGTATGGAATATTGGTACAGAGAAAAAATTAAGTAATCACTGAAAAAAATTTCATTATACCACTTTCTCCACCACAATTTCCACAGAAACTACCAATATTGAACACAGACCTCCATGTTGCTGTTTATGGTTCATTTAATGATTCTGTCAGTAGCTCAGACCATACAGTCAAATGACAGGACGATTAGTGAAATGGAAAAGGATGAAAGTTAACAGCTGCAGCCCAACCTGAAATACTCTCAGCAATTGCCTGGAGTAACTGAGAAAACCACAAAACCAGTCAGGATACCATCTTTGGCCCTAATTTTGAACCCAGACTCCTGATACACAGCAGAAGTGCCAACCACTCAAGTGTGATGCTCAGAGCCACGCTGAAAAGTTATTATGAAACTATGGGATGGCCACAAATCAACTCAGCTGCATCTAATGTAGTAAAATTACATGACCCACACTAAAACAGTATAAACCTTCAATGTAATCTTACTTAACTAGTAAGAAGACACATTAAGATTGCCAACTCCCACTGGAATGCTAATCAGATATTTTCTCACACGCCAATGGTTCATCATCACTAGTCTTCAATCCTACAGAGCGGGAGGGAGGGGGGAACCTCTAGTGTAATCAAATGACTTGACAGTGTATGGGTCTTTGCTGTGCAAAGTTCCAGTTTGCACAATATTCCTCATTTAAGACAATGTTCATAAATGTTCCCATTTAGTAAAGAAGCCAAACACCCAAAGAAAATAAACAGTAAGCAATGAAAATATTTTGATAGACAACAGGAAAGGAGAAGAAAAAAACACGAGGCACAAATTATCCCTGTTATCAAATACAACACATCATGTGAATCACCCGCAAAGTGTGCTCAGAGTGACATGTTCCCATAGCAGTGACAAACAGCATGCAATCAAGCCAGGCGCCGCCCTAGGATACCTCCTAACATCGTACGTGTCGACTAGAGCCATGAAGCCTGAAGGGAACGCAATGGCGAATGAGATCCATGCTGCCAACTCTCCGTCTGATGCTTCCGAGGCTGGCAGCGACAACAGTGATGCAACCTCCTCACGCCAGTGGGTACACAGGTCCAGCATATCATGAGGGACACCACTGGTACGATGTGCGAGAACCTATCACCATAACACAGCACAAAGCATGACACATACATTAAGATGATTAGTTTTGCAACACATCATGCAACACTGAACACTAATTCAAAATTCTGTCTATGACATTTCAATGTATGAAGCCACAGTCACATTCAAGATTCTGTTAAGGAGGAATCCTGTGGTATAAGGCACTATATTCCACAGGATATTAGGAACACTGACAAATTCCAAGTCAATCAAGTGTATATAGGTTAATGGTGTCAGGTACAATCTCGCAGCACTGCAAACTTCCACTCTATTAACTTTGGACATAAAATTAAACCAGGGGATCCTCACCCCGACAATCTGTGTGTCCATCAACCTGTCCACCGGGTTTGGACATACCGTGTTCAGATGCTCCTGCAGTTACAGTAAAATAAGAAGCCCCATGTTGTAATTCAGCATACCATCATACATCAGTTGAAGATCAAGAAATTGTTGAATTTCAAATATTTAAAATGAATATCAAACATCTGTGGTGGGAAAACATGTTATTAGGACACCACCAACACCAAAGCCCAATCACTGAACCAAATCTTGATAACCTTGTATCTTCACAAACTGTGCCTGTAATATCCACTTTAATAACACCATCTTATTTGTATTCAAAATAGCTATTTGTAAAAGACATAATGATTTCTTCTTGGGCTACCAACCACGTAAGGTCGTGCCCCTTATGTCTCCATGAAAAGACACTCAGTCCCGAGAATTTTAGGCAGAATTCAATATAATGTTATCACAATCTGAATATAGCAAGGAAAAATATGCTACTAATTATGTACTGATATAAACCAAATAGTAGAATATCATTCAAGGTTAAAACTTCAATTTTACTGTATTCCCTGCTTTCTACTAAAGAATTTACTGTCTATAAGAATATCTTACAAAACACACCAAAGAATGCCTTGCATGACAACAGAGTCCACCTGTCCTTCAACACATTTCACTGCTACAACATAAAATAGTGGACATAATATTTTCCTAAATTGAATATACATCTGGATAAATGTGCATTCCAGTATTTAGAAATTTCAAATGGAGTGAAAGTAATCCCTTCACATATCAGTTGCATACAGTATATCCAATGGCTTCTAAATTCACAATCTAAGTACTGATATGCTAAACACTTTGTATAACTGTATGATTGCTCACTATCCATGTTTATCCACTGCCCCTGCCACAGCCGCTTCCTTCCAAACGTTTCAGGGGGTTAGCTTTAGGTCATATTTAGATAAACACAGAATTTTTATTATGCTCTTCTGGGTTTGTGTGTGTGCATGCGTGCATGTATTGCATAAAGAAGCTTCAATTATTGGGATTTCTTCATATTCTTTAAAATTTTTCTTTCCTACTACGAAAATAAAAGTACATTAAAGAAACTTCGAAAACTTTCAAGCCTAAATTTGTTAATGAAATATAACTGTCCATGCAAGAGATGGGGTGTGTGTGTGTGTTTACAGGTTTAAAATTTACTCTACTCACACATACATAAGGCAAACCCCTTTTGAAGGCCCTGAAAAGGGCTAACATCTTCTCTACCTTACTCTCTATCCAGCTCCCTCCCCTCTGACACCTGCTTGGAAACCCCTTATTGGTCTAGAACTCTTTTCCCTCACTCCTCAATCCCTATCAGCCCACTCCCTTAGCCTGCCCTTTCTCCAACAATATATAAATCCCTCCACTTCCCAGCAATGCTACTTACTGGTGCATCTGTCTGTCTGTCTGTTCTGCACTAATCTCAGATCACCTGCCTATCCTCATGGACACCATATCCTGATCTTTTCAAAACCTGCTAAACCACCCCGACTTCACGTGAATGGACTGGGCTGCATTCAAGGCTTGCCTTGAAGAAAAACTCAGAGTAAATCCCATGGTAAATGACAAACACACACCTGACGTGCACTTAGAAGCAGACCAGCAGGAACTGCTTCAAAGTGTCAACCTGCAGCCCCCTTTATCTACTAGTATTTAGGATCAAATATGCCTGAAGAATTGGATGAGGAGGTGATCAGGTCAGAAGGGACCACACTCTGAAAGACCAGGTCAACTGCCTCCAGAGGTGTGACCTATTTGGCTGAATGAGTTTAGGAAAGAATAGTGAGTAATACACTGGAATTGTTGGACAGTCACTATGGAAGATGACAAAGAGGGTGATGGAAGTTCGCACTCCTTCACCCCTCTAGCAAGTGTTGGGAAGACTAGCTTTCTCAGACTCTGAGAAAGCACAAGCCCTGGCTGACAGCATGATCAGTTTCAGCTGGTAGATGACTCATCAGTTATTAAGATTATGTGCACATATGAGTATGCCCCCACAAGTGAATTGAAATTAATCAGTCCCTTGGAAGTCTTTCAAGCCATTATGAGACTCAAGGTTTGCAAGAATCTGGGCCTGAACAGTATTATGAACAGGACCCTTACACAACACCCTAAATGTATGATAACCTTTCTCATGAAAGCGTTTAATGCAGTCCTACGCAGGTAGTACTTCCCACCAATGTGCAAACACACTTGTGTGGTATCCATAATGACGCCAGAAAAGAATCCCATGTTGCCTTCTTCCTACACACCCATCAGTTTCCTGACACTGTAGGAAACCCGAGAAGATCTGGGGTCCTTACGGAAGTGCACAATAGAGAGCTGTTGCATGACAAGCAGTTTCAGTTTCAACCTACACATAGCACAAAGCTGCATTTGGCCCAGCACGTCAAAAGAATCACTAGAAAATTTGATAATTCAGTCTGTATGTGAACAATACACTTACACCCTCCTACCAAATCAAGGTAGCACAGTATGCGGATGACACTGCTCTCGTAGCCATGTCCTTGAGGCCTATCTTGGTAGAGTGAAGTACTGGCTATAGAACTGGATGACTACTATCAACGTCTTGAAGAACACTGTGCTCTTTTTTAGGCCATGACATGCATCCAAAACCCAGAGCAGTGCAGTTTTTAGAAGAGCTATTAAGTGGGTCAAAACAGTACAGTACCTTGGGAGTCACCCATGATACTCAGTTTACATGACCAATACATGTCAGCCAGGTGGGGAAAGAAAAGAAGAAGAAAGAAATAAAGAAGGTAGCTCAAAGACTGGGCATGCTTGGAACCCTCCACAACAGGAGAAGTAGCCTGTCCATCAGTATGCTGCTCTACAGGCAGTTAATCCATCTTATGATGGATTAAACATACCCCACCTGGAGGTCCACTGCCTGGAAGCTGCAAGTGTTACAATCCAAGTGTCTTTGCACTGCAACTAGCACACCTTGGTATATTAGAAACAGGCACATTCACAAGGATTTGGGGATTCAATTCCTTTCCAACCACATCACAGCACTGACTGAGAGTTTTGACTTAAAGTCAGCTAATGCAGGGAACCCCTTAGTTTGGTAACTTGGATGGCATCTGTGCCAACCAAGGGCTGACCAAGGTCACCCTTGGCAAACAGACAGGGACATGCTAAGCATGTAGCCGAGGCTGTCCCTAAACAGATAGCCAAGGCGGCACACAGATTGGTAAACCCACTCAGCTACCCTGACTCAGGTTTTCTGTGCTTTTCTTCAGCTGCAAGGCAAGTGCCAGGGTATAATTAAAAAGGGGTGTGGCCCACCTTTCCCAGTCTTGGAGGCCTTGAGCCGAAGTAATGCTCCCCCTCCCCCAAGTCCCAGAGGCAATCACACAAAGCAATCCAACACTTCTGGGTTCAAATCCCAGAGATCCATCCAACCAAAATTCTTTTCACAAAGGACAAGTTGCTGATGGGACAAACAACAACCAGTAGGAATAGCACCTTGTTCAAAAAATTAAAAATGTCTTGCACTTCTGCAACAATCCACCCTTAGTTTTTTGGTCGGTTGGTAGCATCACTACATCAATCCTGAAGATGCAGACAGCATGTTTCTCTGAAACGCTGTGATCTACCAACTATTCAATGCAGCCTCAAAACCCATAAAAAATACATCATCATTCTCACTACCATGCAAACCTCAAAACTAATATGATTTTAAATTGTTAACATTTCAGAATACTCCATTCCCTTATTACTATTTTCAAAGGAACATTGAACACTGTTGACAGTCATGTGCTTATGAGGCAAGTTAGAAATTTATCCACCTTTAGTGTAAACAATGCATTGAGACTAGGACCTTCAGCAGGTGGTGGCCCACTCCTGCACACACCATATGTAATTTTTTAAACTTATTTTTATTAAAAACACTGTCACCCTTGATGACACTTCCTCTGTACTGAAAACTAATTAATATTTGGAAAGACAAAAAAATGTGTACTGCAGATATTTACTTAGAAATGGTTCCAACATGGAAAGCACCAATTCATACATCAACAGCATTTGTAAATCTACATTACATAATGTAATTTTGATATATTTTAAAAGTCATCCCATGCCCTGCAAAGTTAAAGCTATTCATCATAGCTCTTTTTTATATGATGTAAAAATTCTGTAATAATTATTAACTGCAAATTCCTGAACACAATGCCCATATATAGTAATTCCTATGAAACTGCCTTGCAGATCACACAGAAAGAGAATTCTGCTTCTTCATTCAGTTTCTCTTGGTTTATTAATTAACACTTTTTGAACTATGAAGGTATGATCATTTGCCCATGAGCTAAGTAAAATGATGAGCAACCTCAAGGTAGCTGGCCTCTAAGCTCAAATTTGAATGGAGACAGCTTGGGTAAAGCACAGTGCTACTACAAATCCATAGCATAGTGGTAATGAACAGGGCTAAATGGATGTGACTACAGTACTATTCTAGCACTAAGGAAAACCATAAAACTGTTCCCTGTTCACGATTGAATCTTTCATCTCCCAGATGCAAGTCAACCATCCGTCTGCATGCTCTACTGCAAAAAAAGGCAGATACAACATACAAAAAGAAATACTACTTTATGCACCCAGAACAAACAGCATTCCTTGGCTGGTCTAGACATGTGAACATCTGAACTACATAAAAGCACCAATCGCTTCTCAAGAATAAAGCACTGACAGAATAGCTATCATCATTTAAGCAACAAGACTCACACAAATGGTACTCTTTGAAGATACATGTTTAACTCACTTGCTTGGTACTTTTTCAGCAACTACATAAAAGTAAAGCTCACTGAATACCTGAACCTCACATTGCTATTAAGAACACAGGTTTAAGAATTTTTCAAATATGACATTTATTACAGGCCTGAGAAATGTGATGAAAAAATCCAGAATGAAATACTGAGACAAACGTTCCAAGACAGCAACATGGACATCAAGAACTAACAAACCCAAGTAAGTAATGCTGCCCCAGCGCTTAAGCACCACACCACAAAGATACGTAAAAAACACGGACATAAAACTCCATGCATTCTAGAGCTGGTACTAGATGTAGGTAAGTGGTCAGCTTCATGATCTGGCTACTTTAACCTCAGTACCATGTGCATAATGTATGAATGGTAAGAGAATAATGATTCATATGAGTTTACTGGTTCTTGTGCTTTCTGAAATCAACTAGTAATTTAAAACATAGAAAATGAGTGAATGGATTAATGCTTGTCCAATAACAATGCAGAAGTGCATAATTATTAAGAATAATCCCCACTGGCACACTTCTATTGCTAATATATTCAAACTTACACCAATCTATAAATAGGCAAAATTATATGGGATATTAAAAAAACCCTACTAGAGGGAAATTACTGGAGACTTATTTGGTTCATTCACAATAACCATAGAAATCACAAGCATCAGATACCTTCATCCATGAACTCTGTATTCTGCCTAAAAAATCAATCACCCACAGCATACTGGAATTGGTATCCTACAAATGCCTTGTTCAGAGACCCAGAGAAAACGTCTGTTACGCACAATGCCACTGACAATGGCAGCTACACATATAATAAACAGCTTCTCTGCAAATTTAGTCTAAATGACTGTATCCAGGCATCTCACAATATCACCAGGCATTGACAAAAGAATGAAGTACCAGTTCAATCACAACAATATAAATGGTAACCATCCTTCCCATTAGATGCTATGTGTTGAACATTTTACTAATGGGAGAATGTTTCAGTTTCATACTAAAATCCCAAAAACCTTGTCTGTTACTAAGTTGAGTCTAGTGCAGGAAGTCATTTCCATTAGCTTTAATATTTATTTATAGTTTATTTAACAACACTTTCTCATTATTTCAGAATATATACACCTTACAGTCCTATGTACCAAATAAGTAAAATACTACACACTGATGTAACATGTCAGTTTCTGAACTCCCATGAGTCACACAACCCAACTGTAATGACTGGATGATGCAACAGGTGTCAACAGTGACTATAGTCAGGTTGATAGTGACAGCTCTCAGGCACAAGTAATATTCAACTTCCTTTACATGTGCTTTACTGTTTAAAAGAACAGTGTATGTAAGCAAACTTTACTATGCAACTAGGTTTAAGTAAATAAGAAAGTTAAAAATGTCAACTCTCATTATGCTGACCACTATCACCTTGGTCTTGAGTTCTCTGAGGTCAGAGAAAGACGTGACATAGGCGTGTGCATGTGTCCCATTCACTGGGATGTTGTACAGTTTCCCAGCCAAGACATTGCTTGTTCCATCAAATCCACCTGCAAAAATTGTTCCATGTATATAATAATTTATGCTTCAGTATTTAATTTGTAGTTACACATTTAGACAGATCACAGTAACATTACCAAATAAGTTAATCACAGTTTAATAACAGCACTTTAACAAATGCTTAAGTGATTTAGCATCAAATGACATGGTAAGATAATTATATAAACCATAAAACAGAAATGTCAATAGCTCAGAGTAATATAACCAGGCAAGTTATTCATAATGTATCAATAAAAATATATTGGCTGCACAGGTTATATTATTAAAGATAAAATGCTAATTATGAATGAAGATAACAAGAAACTGAGAAAAATACATTCGTCTGAAAGGACAATCAAATTATCAGTAAGGGCAGCAAAGATGTGAACCATTATTATCTCCCCAAAACAGGCCATATAACTTACTTATGTACACTTTCGCTAGCTTGCATCACATCCAAAAGTTAAAACACGTGTGAAAAATTAGATGTGTTTTAGCTGCTGTAAACAGATGAAGTGGAATCAGTGGAAGATCAAATAAGTACAAGGAAAACATATGATATGGCCCCTTCACCATCACGAGAACCTCACATCTCACACACTCTTTTATATGGAATTTCATGGATTCTCATTTTTCAAGCAAATGCTGGTGGAGGAAATTTCTTCCAGATCTAGAAGACCATGATTTACAAGGTTTCTCTAATGAAGAGCAGGTCAGAATTTCTTAACATGGTGCATGTTGTGAGAAATACTTAAAACGTCAAAGAAGAAACACTGAAGAATGGCTAGAGAGTGATGCAAATGAAGCGAGCTTCCAGCACGCAATGAACATTGTCATTATCAACATATAACATACAAAAGATGACAGTGAGGACATAACAGATATATAATGGCATACAAGGATTTATATATCAATTTAAAATAAATTAACCTAATAAAACATCGAGAATAAGAATATAGAAACCCTATGCCAGCACCATAAATTGAATGTGTCTGGGGGGGATCCCCAGTATCATTCTAAAAGTGGCTGTAAAGTGGAACAGTCCCAGTGCTTCTATAAGCAAATAACTTCAGTCTGTAATAAATCAATACAAAGGCCCCCAAACATTACAGTACATCAGGGAGAATACTGGAAAATGCCTGACCTCACCCGGATCACATGGTGCAGCAGCAATTACTGTAGTACGAGAAGGGGCAAACACTGCAGTGCTGAGTTTCTATGTACCAGTCACCAAACTCATGGCAAGTTCCCGCCTACTACAAGGTGTCCTGTGTAGTGCAACATTCATGTATACTTGAGTGATTCGATGCCTAGCTTATAAATAAAGCTCATTTTCAACATTCTTGTTGGTAAATTCTCATCCAAAATAAACAAGACAAGGTTTAACAAATTACAACTTAATATCGTAATATGTAGTGGAAAAAACAATTACTGACATAAAAAAAGATGGTAACTTACCATGAAAGAACTTACTATGATAAACAAGGTAAGTAGACATAAAAAATTTCAATTTTTATGTGTTTTATATACTTGTTACAGGCAAAATTGCTCTGAAGGGGGTGATATGTCAGCACTGAATTGTGGCTGCTAATGGGCCCATTATCCACACAGAATTTGCCTTATGGATTTTATACACTTCTTTAGCATTTTATACAATACTAGATTTGGTTCTTTGTAATGTACCTAAACACATGCATTTTATACCGTTCTTCCCAGAATGATTTCCCATGATCCACAAGATCACATCTTAGATGAACAGAGAAAGGTCCTAGCTATGGCAGACCTTCCAAACTGAAGAGGTTTGGGGTGATAAGTTGAAGATAAAAAATCCACACACAACAAATCGAAGTATTTACACAGCCACTATCAAGCACACTTAAACTACATGGTCACTGGATGAAAGTCATGTGTTATAGTAAATACAATGCACAAATAATGCTGTAATACTTCAATATTAAAAAAGTAGTGTAGCTCAGACAGTATAGCGATAAGGACATGGGCTTGACCTACAGGTTCATTCCCTACAGAGGCACAAATTTTTCTCTTTGCCATCACGCTCAGACCATCTCTGGGATTCACCCAGTCTTCCATCCAGTGGTACTAGCAGTTCTTGCTAGGGTGGGTGGGTGGGAAGTGGCCATATCAAGATGCTGACCACTCACCTCCATTCAGCACTGTGGTGAAGAATGCATGGAGCTGTGTCTCCACATCCTACACATCTCACAAGAACGGTCTCCATTAGGCATAGGGGAAATTTTACCTGAATATAAAAGGGAGGAAGCAAGAGGAAGAAAAACTCTTAATTGATGAGTGTTTTGTTTTACCATCACAGTCTGCCATGCTGAACACATTTAGCTCAGCTGCCTGCACTGAGCTATTTCTTTTAAGCTACACAAAAAATTCATTCATTGTCAATAAAAAAATCTCATATATCTGCACTTAAGCTAGAAGCCTAGGACTTCCAACTGACTTCATAACAAAAAATTTTCCTTGAAAAACAAAATCATTCAGCTTGTAAAGAAACCTGTTGAACTTATGTTACCCAAAGGTTCACATCTGTATTTGTGAAAGGCCACCACCAGATCATACCATGAGCCACATTATACTTTCTTAATATCACAGTAACATGAAGAATGTTTTAATCAGTAAGAAGCTTTTTTGCATTAGGGAAATTGGTGATCAGGCACTCTACACACTTTGCCATTGTCTCGATGAATTCAAGATGTGGTGGCACAGAGAAAATCTCCTAAATAAAAAAACTGTGTCCTGCAAGTTACATTTTTCAGGAAGTTATACTACTGAACAATATTTTCAAGCACACAATCATATATCATACCGCAGGCCAGAAGAATTCTAGACAAGCAAATGGAATACAAAACTTCTTGCTTTATTTCAGTAAACAGATTCAAAGGAACAAACATGTAAGAGCAGGAGACAGTACAAACAAGATGAAATATTATTGTAGGCACTTTGCACTGGACAGGCTCTGCATTTGATTCTCAGCCTATAGGCCAGCTATCCTGAATGAAACTGAGATTCTCCCCAGGCACTCCAGGAAAAAACACGACAATACCTTAAACTATGCAATGACAGTGTTTTCCACATAATTCCCAATGTATGTCTAAATTATGTCCTGCACAGTAGCCGCGCGGTCTGAGGCACCATGCTTCGGACCGGTAATACAGAAAGCGCGCTGGTTCGAGTCTCGGTGAAAGAAATTTGTCATGAGATTTTTGACTGGTGTATGGGACCGGTGCCAACCCAGCATCGTGAGGAAATTGGGGAGCTGAAATGGGTAGTGTAACCGGTCATGAAATTTAGCAATTGCTGGGGGTTTGTCGTGCTGACCACACGTCATCCTATATCTGGCTGGATGATCGTTCACCTCTGCTTAGGCATGTGAACGTGAGGCCAGCAGCCAGTTAGTCGGCTCAGAGGGCTGTTACGCCACGGATTATTATTATGTCTAAATTACATGCGCAATAAAAGTATCATAAAACATACCAAGAAACTAAACATAATGACTTTGAAGATATAATTTACTTCAAAAGGTGGTGTGAAAATAATCTCATGTCCACGTCATGTATGGAATTTAGACCTGTGATCCCAGTGTACGAGCAGCCAAGACCAACAACGCCTTAGACTGCAAGGGACACAATGAGCAGCAGCAACTCTCAAACAGTAATATGTATTTACATGCATGCAGCAGCTGGAAGCGATCAATAGCTACACTGCTGTTCACTGTACCAGGGGTTAACTGACACTGCCAGTCACCAGCAAGAGAATGAAGTGGGTGGGAAACCAACATCCTCACACACAAAAGCCCATAACACATTCCCATGCAATAACTTGATGGACTACAGCTGTACAACCTGAAATACAGATTCACATGCCAATTCTAAGTGTCCCCGACACCTTCCTCTTCAAGCAGCAGTTATATGCTATATAAGAACTCAGTGATTACTCCTATATTACCAACTAAAATAACTGAATGTAACGTGTTCTTTCCAAAAGTTAACTTAACAGAGTCATTATTGAGTGAGGAGCTAACAGTGTGCTCAGACAGTCAAGAACTTTTATGCCTTTTATGGACCCAAAGTTTCACTACCATGTTCACAAAGCCTGCCACTGATCCCTTTATTGATCCAGTTACATGCCCTCCCACCCTATTTACCTAAGACCCAGTTTAATATTCTCCTTTTATCTGTGCCAATGTCTTCCAAGCAATCTCTTCCCTTCAGGCTTTCAAAATTTCTCACCATTCCCATGTTATATACCCCACTCATCACATCATTAATTTCATGATCCTAATATTTGTTAAAGAGTATAAATTATGGAGCTCCTCATCTTGTAATTTTATTATTAGGTCCAAACATTCTCCTCAGCACCTTGCTCTCAAACATTCTCAATCACTGTTCTCCTCAAGTTAGGGACCAAGTTTCATACCCATACAAAGCAACTAGTCAAATTATAGAACTGTGCATTTAAAACTTTTCATTTTTAGACAGCCAACAGGAAGACAAAAGATTCTGAAATGCAAGCATTCCCTGAATTTAGTCTGCTCCTAATTTCCTCATGACAACAATTTTGATTTGTTGCCATCTTTCCCAAATGCCTGAACCTTAATACTTTTTCAAGGAGTTGTTAACATATTGAACTTAAAATATGTTCATTGTATAATTTTGTAAGTAGAAAATTCAAGGTTCAAGCACCAATAAAATACAAGAAAGCATTTCATGTTCCAAGTCAATAGAGTCAAATCCCTTCAGAGTACCAAAAACACTGCCATTAAAGTGGGGTCTAATACGTCCCCAAGGTCCTTAAGTTTTTTTAGCATTCAACCATTTCACACTTGTCTCAGTTTCCCATCTCTTTTTCACACCGAGAATATCTCAAAAACAGAACTGACTGACAGTTGGGTCTATCCCATAATTGTGGGAAATACTTGGCAATGTTTTGCTGACTTCCTCCATGCTACTATTCTTATCCTCGATACTATAACCCCCCCCCCCCCCCCCCACAACAGAGCACATGCACACATCACTCAAAAGGAAATTACTTAATTTTATATGCTTGTACCTGTATAAAGCTGTTACAAACTTCCTTACTCTGTGACCAGTCTGGCAACCATATTGGAAACTGAAGTGTTATTAGTGTACTTTAAGTTAACTACTTGAAAAAATTGCAACACTTGAATTATGGAAGAGTCCACTAACCAAGTCAAATGGGTGGGAGTGGGGTGGGGGAGAACAGTAACTGCTCTACCAGAATTCTTAGATTTCTACCTGTTATAAATTTAATGAAACAGCCAGGATTTATAATTCTCCCAAGACCCCAATAACACCCCAACTCACTCCCTGAGTTGCTATGAATGGTACCCGAGAAGGTTTTATTTATTAAAACAGAATTGGTGGTGCACAGTATTTGTACATCTGAATATTCCAGGGAGTTGTATGTACAGCCAATTAAATAAAATTACATGAAACTTAACAGACTTTCTTTTAACAGGTAACTGGTTTCTTTTAGTGGTGGCATCCAACACTGTGCATACCAAAACACTTACACTAACAATTCTTTCAAATGAGCCAGGGTAGCTCAGTCAATATAGTGTCTATGTACTGGACAAATGGGGTTCAATTTTTCTTCTAGCCCCTGCAACCAGACCAGTTTTGAGGTATTTCCATCATTAGGGAGGAGACTGAAACGTACTGTCTTGGGTCCATTAGATGGAGCTGGTCTCTAACTTTTATTTGTTTGTTTGTCTCTCAGCATAAAATTACAAAACTAAGTGATGAAATAACTTTACATCAACAAATCCGAAGACTGACTGACGTCAACAGCAGATGATTTCATGATGTTTATTAACATTACAGATAGGAAACCAATGACCCACACTATCCAGCTCCACATGAATGAGCAATTATCATCTAAGAGGTATTAAACAAATAAAATCCCCCAAAACTTATATACTTTTAAACCATAAAATAAATTAAAAACCAATGGAAGAATGATGTAATTTGCCAGACGCAGATTTTATAAAATACCACAGAAGTTGTTAGAAAGAATAAGATAATGCCCTCACACCAATATGTAAATATCAATCTGGAGAAAGACATTTAAGGAAATCTCTTAAAAATGTTTTTAAAAAATTCTGTTCTGCAACAGACAAGCACACCCAGTAATGAGGGAGAGAAGGGGGAGGGAAGGAAGGTGACACAAATTTAAGAAAACTTACTGTGACTCTGGTCACATGGCTTTCCTATACAATCTTTTACAAAACATAAGCATACGTCAATGGAGTAATTTATTGCTCTGTGGCTTAGAAATTGTGGCTGAAATATTGTCATCCTTCCAAATATTAAGACCTCATAGAATTGGGATTAAAGAACAAAATACTTCCAAAGCATTATTCAAGTTATTCATTCCTAGAGTTCATGTCACATAACTTTTAGAAAAATCCTGACAGAGTTCATCTTCAAAAATGATAATTCCAGTTTTGTCTACTGTGTTAAATGAAACCTCCTACTTGAATACTCAGAATATAGTATTTAAAACTAAAAATCCTAACCAATATCAGCAGTAATATTAAAGCTCCTGTAACTGTTTGGCTGCAACATTGTTGTTAATTTTTTCCTAAGAAAATGTAATTATAAGACCAAAACCCTAACTCATTATAAGGGTTATTATATTATTCAATTCAATTCTTTATTTTAACATGCTGACTGAATATCTGCAGGAGTCAGTTACAGAGTCAGCACATGAAAGCAGAATATGCACAAAGTACAGAAAACAATAAAAAGCAAAAATGAAACTAAATACATACATACATACATACATACATACATACATACATACATACATACATACATACAAGCAATCAATCAATCAATCAATCCAAACACCTTCTCGTATCAGGGTGTCTTCAAAGTAGACAATGTTTTTGCCAAACATTTAAAATCTGCAAACGCCATTTCCAGTAATGACAAAAATAACACACAGATTTGTATGTAATGATTTACAAAATAATAAAAAATTACTGAAACTGCCAACACACAAATCAAATAGTAATATAGCATACCTTTTACACTTACACCTACCTAAAATTCAGAAACATGACACAAGAATAATAATCACACCCAGAACACAAAACTTCAACCAGCATAAGAGCCATGCAATATTTATGAACAACTTCAAACAAATTCATCAAACAAGTACATTTTTATAGCTCAGAAAGTAAAGTTGAATGAATAATTATCCGCAGCATGAATAAAACAAATTCAGTTTTTCCTTTGCTTGCCACAAATTAAATTATGTCAATAAAATGATTACTGTCACAACAGCAAGGTCAATCCAACTGAAGAACTCTTTATTGTTGAAGTTTCATTATACCTTGCATTAAATTAAAAATTACTTTCAAATTTTACACAATTTAATCATGCTAAAAATAGTCTTCACTGGTCCAAAACTTGGTACCAAAGTCCAGTATTCTGGGGCATGTTACAGTACTTCTTTTGGTCATGTAAAACCTGAATGTAAGTTAGAAGAATCACAGCTTTATCTCACATGACCTCTAGATTTAAAAATGAAACCACATTTCTGACCAGCTGAGAGAGGGAAGCCTACTGACACTATGACAACATCAGCACCTGGCAGTTGGCTGGTGCAGCCATGTGATGTGCTCAGGCAGTAGAAAAAGGTTACAACCCAAGATGTTCAGTAAACCATCATTCCAAGCAAGCAGGTTCACAAATAAGGATTCATATGACAACTTTAATTTAAATATCACACAATTATAGTAGTACACTTACCAACATATGCATACTTAGAAGCTGACAAGCCTCCATCTGGTCCCTGTGCACGCCTCAAACCAAATTCTAACAGTGAAATATGCTTTCCAGCAGCTATTCGGTATCTGGCAGCATTTGTTGCCATCAAACTGCAACAACAAAAAAGAGTTACATATACTACACAGAAAAACAAACTTATTGAAGAAATAACGTAGATATCTGGACCTAGGGAGGATGAAATAAATGGGGAATTTAGAATGAGCAAGGAGCGGCGTGAATTGTATGTGTCACCTAGCATAGCGAGGACAGTGAAATCTAGGAGGTTCAGATGGGATGCACATGTAGCACCATGTTGTGGGAGTCAAGGGGTGCATACAGAATTTTGGTACGGAATCCTTCTGGAAGAAGACCACTGGGCAGACCAAGAAATAGATGGATCTTAGGGAGTTGGCTCAGGATCGTGGCTGGTGGCATGCCTTGGTGTTTCCCAATAATAAAACAGAATTAATAAGATACAAAATTTATATTTACTCACCTGGCATAGTTGACAAGTGTGAGCAGAGTTGTCTCTAAAAGCTGGACATTTATCAATGGACCTTCCAAACGCAGCAATGGGATCCTTCAATACACAAAATACATTTCTATAAAGAACTTTATTTAATACTTAAACTCACACAGGAAGAACAATGGCCCCTTCAGGTGCTGAATTTGTGACAATATCTACAGATGTTTAAATGTTCATGTATATAATCAGTATTCACATGCTAGAGTCAAAGAAAATGAGATCAGTTATCTTACAACAACAGAATGAAAACAAAATGTTTCGACACTTTCTGTGACATGAATGAAGAAACTGATCCACAGGCCCAATAGGACATCAACGTGTACACATCCAGAGAACAACAATCTTAACAGGTTGATCCCATGAGATTTTTTATTTAGCCCTGCAGATGGATAATTAAATAATTCTGTATTAGGATACATCAGTCCACACACAACAAACAAAGTACACCATGTACAAATGTTTTTATTTTTTACTTCATCTATCACTTAGATTTTTAAAAACCACTATGTATCAGAAGTTGGTTCTACTTCTGCCTTCAAGTGACCGAAGGACAAAGGCCTAATCTGCTGGGTGCCCTGATCAAGCTAGTCTCAAACCTGGACTATCTGGCTCTGTAGGATACAGACTGCAAATCATGGCATTTTGTGATTTACAGTAAAATTGTTACACTGTAACAATTACTATGGCAGAGCACAAACACTAAAAAAAAAGAAACCTCTCTGTGGAGCATTCTGTCCTACTAGAAGCTGTCAGAAAGATAACAAACAATGAAAAAGAAGGTAAATTTAAAACAGCAGTTACCTTGGGAATGCCACAGAACCTTCATCAATGGCAGATAATATCACACTATCCGCTGTCAGTTGTCGTAGGAACACAAAGAACTCTGGTTCAATTGTCTGGGGCAGTGTCTGCTTCAGGTACTCAATATCTGAACAGAAACAGCAGAGTGCTAGAATTCTGAGTTTTCTAAATTAAGAGCAAAGAGCATGAATGTTCTCTGAAATTCTGATAACTACCTAAAAGACTTCATGGTGCCATGACCTGAATTTCCACCACGACAGAAACCTCTAGTCTCAAGTAACGGAGAGGTTTTATCTGTCCATACAGTTGCATGTTTTACCTCCAAGCCTAACAAAACCAATAAATGGATTTTCATGATTTTCACGGTCTACACTGTAAGTATAATGAATTCTTCTCGGGCTACCAGTCATGTAAGGTGATTTAATGGAGAAAACACCGTTTTAAGAACCATCTTCATCCTCATCCTCAGGGTAATTAGTCGCTATGAAAGCTTCAGATCATACTACACTCTAAGTCTTTGGAAGAATAAAGCTTTGGTTCCTAGCAATCAAAATATAACCCACATTTCTCGTAAAGCTCAATCTGAACAAAGACATTTTCATTAATATGAACAATAATACAAAAGTTCATACATAACACAAAAATTGACAGTGGAACCACGGTTCCGGAGAATTTGACGTAAATACGTCTATACAGAAAGGAAGTTTATATATTGGCATTAATATTTCCTTTATACATGCTTTACAATTGAGATAAGTTTGATTAAGACAATGCTTATTCAACTTCAATTAGTTACGCTTGAAATGGATCTGTGGTAGCTGAATGTAATGTAAAGTAATGTAATGTAATGTAAGGTAAGGTTAGGTAATGTAATGTAAAGTAAAGTAATGTAAGGTAATGTAAGGTAAGGTAAGGTAATAGGTAACAACAATGCTAAGTAAACAGATGACGTTTCCTAGGTAACAATAATGCCGAGTAAACAGATGATGTTTCCAAGGTAACATAACAATGAAGTTTGACATTTCCTAGGTAACATAACAATGAAGTTACACTTTTTCGTTCCACTTTTTGCCGAATAACACTGACCCTAAAATATAGACGTATTTACGTCAAAATACAGTTCTCATTAAAACATATAATTGTTATTTTAAATATTCTTCCATACAGTGGCTTGAAGTTTCACTGACACCTGTTTTCATAAAGAAGGAACAATTTCGAAAACCACGGAGGTATAAGGTTAATAAATACCGGGTATAAAACTTACACTTGTAAAATATATAAAAGACTCCAGATATTTCAAGGTAACTAATAATGGAAGAATAAAACAGATTCTGAGCAGGCCAATTCTGTATGGATAATACACCAGTACCTGCAATAAAGCATTATACAAAAAAAGGAGAGAACAGAACTTGGGAACTCATTAAGCTTTTGCAGAAATGAGAAACTTCCAACAAAGGGGACAGAATTTATGAAAAATTTTGAAGACAGGATACCCAATATATGTGATACAAACAATACAAAAACTTAATTATATATTCAACATAAGTAAAGGCTACCAGCCTGTTTAACATATACTGATGACCTCCTGAGAGAATGGAAAGACATAACTTCCTGGAACAGCTACAGTAACAGCAGAGATGAGAGGCTCTCAATCTACTGGAGACAGTCACACCAAACCGAAGAAACATGCTTTCATCACCTTCCTACCCTCTGCCAGCATGACCTTCAATGGCATCAGTCTGCGAGCCTCACTCTTTGGAACATTCCAAATTTCTCTGGCCTGTGAAGTACAACTTGGGACTGAAGACTCCAGGTGTATACAACATGCCCTGCAAGTGTGGCTGGGTCTAGTGTCAAGAAACACCAATGGCACATTGGAGCACCCACACAAATCAACCATGGCTAAACCCAGCCTTAATCTGGTCCACAATATCCAACTCACTGATGCCAGCATCCTCTCAACCAAGTCCAGATACGTGGACCAGATGATTAGGGAGGCCACTGAGATTCAGCTATACCCAAAGAACGTAAACAAGGAAGAAATCCTCCACTTGGGCCAGTCATGGAAGTCACTTTTTCAAAGGATGTAGAAAGCCTCCAATAATGAAGCAGTGCCTATTGTGACCTGGCTACTAGGACAGCACATGAATACTGCCCCAGTCAGTTCCTTCATTCACCTCTCCCAATTCTTGTTTAGTCCATATTCCCTTCAATATTTTCTCCTGTACCTTTGTTTACCTAATAATTTATTCTATATATTCTTCCTTTTTCCTTCTTTCTATCCTTCATAACCCTCGCATCTTTTGCTTCTTTCTTTTATCTGCAACTTGTTTGGTGATCTCCCTGCTGGTCCCCCAGTCAGCCCTTATAATGGTCATTTCCTTTCCTCTCTTCCTTGTATGTCTCATCCACTTCCCCTCTTTGGTCAGGCTGTGGTCTACCCTTCTCTCATTGGTTCCTTGCTCTCACCCTCTTTCCCACTGATCTGACCAAGGTTCTACCTTGTCCAACTGGTTCCTACATCTCAAATCAATTTCTTGTGCACAGCAAGCACCTCTGAAATGTCAGTAAACTTCTGTCAGACTACATGGTGGACCATCCAAAAACACGGCAATCTTCATCTTACTATTTGCAGATGATCAAATTTTAGAATAAGACAGGACAAGTTATAACATCCAATTTATACTCTACAAAGCATTAGTAAAACTAGTATATAGTTTGACAACATCAACTACAAACCATAAGTTTTGGCACTCAAAGCCAAGTTTTCAGACAGAACTAACAACTATTGATAGAACATTAAAGACTAAAAAAAGAAAATAAACATGTGCCAGAACAATGAAGTAAGAGTGAGTGAGTGAGTGAGTGAGTGAGTGAGTGAGTGAGTGAGTGAGTGAGTGAGTGAGTGAGTGAGTGAGTGAGTGAGTGAGTGAGTGAGTGAGTGAGTGAGTGAGTGAGTGAGTGAGTGAGTGAGTGAGTGAGTGAGTGAGTGAGTGAGTGAGTGAGTGAGTGAGTGAGTGAGTGAGTGAGTGAGAGAGTGAGAGAGAGAGAGAGAGGGGAGGGCATGTTTAACAAAGATAAAAATGCCCGACTCTGCAATGCTATTTGTAGTGATTATGATAACTATATGTATGTGCAATACATGAATATAAAGACCTATGGGGCCTGCAAAAGAGCAAAGAATTTACTTAGAAATATGTGTACTGCAGAGTACACTTTTCCATCCCATTTTCTCGACTCACACTCATACACAATGAGTTCACATGTCTCAACAGAAGGCCAGTGAAAGACAAACAAAAATCAACCTGAAACCTGATGACAAGTCTTGATGATAACAATGTTGTCACTCCCACAGATAATCAATACATGAAGGACTAGGCAGCACAACAGAGGTTACACAGTGCACAATGTGAATCAAATGTTACACGAACTAATGACATCCTCCAAATACACTTATGAATAAATCATAAGCAGCCAAACTCAAAAATAGGAATATTAAAATTTCTAAATAAAAAGTCTGCACATACAAGCAATTTCTTTCTTCAAGAAATGAATAAATATCTCGGAACAAGTTCAGACTGCAACGATTACTTATTTGTACTACTTCACTATGCACCCATATGATATGACTTTCATACGTCTTACACTTTCTAGACCCAACACTAATCTACCCTTATGTGGGGTAAAGTAAACTACAACAAAATCTGGATCAGTCAGAAAAATTTAAAATGTCTAAATAAAATCACTTTCAACTGCATTAACACAACTCAATGTATAACACTACTACTGAGTTTTCCAGATAGTGGAGCTGTGATGTAAACTTAGGAGATGCAGCATTGCCTGACCTGATGGGAGGAGTGTCTGATTCATCCTAGTCAACACTCCCAAAAAAATCACTGCACATAAGTAGCAACAACAAAGTGTAAATTTTCATGACAAATACATTTGCTTATATATATAAACATATACAATATTTTCATTACATTTACATTACAAACCTGCATGAAAATGTAGCATAATGTAATATCAAGATATACTTTTAAAAACCTAAAATGAGATCTCAAATTCAGCCAGAAGCATCAGTGCTGTGGGTTGCCAAAAGATGCCACTTCATTCAAATCTTGTATTCCTGCCAAATAATTTTTTTTTAAAAAAAGTGGGAGATGACTAAAATTTTGCATTTTCATCCTCTACTACAGGTTCAAAAATTCAGTTAAATCTAAAGTTATGAGCTTGTACTGAAATGACATCCATTGAATCATCACAGCACTCAATGGATTCCAGCAGGAGTCTGCACAGGCTCCTCTCACTATACATCGTTGTTGAGGGTCAGAGAGATAGAGAGAGAGAATAATGTAGCAGATGAAAAGTGAAACTGCATTTAGCATTTGAGGTTTTCACAGCAGTGAGTCTGAAGATGGCTACAACCCAGAAGACAGCCATCTTAAAACTGTATTTCTTTTCCAAAGAAAGACAGAAAGGCTGTAATACATTTTAAAACAGATAGCTGTATTTCTCCATATAACTGAGTTTAGCATAAAAATGTTTCTTAGCTTTCAGCTTTGATTTCAAGTAACTGTTCAGTTTATAAAAATTCAGTTATTAATTCTGATAAAATACTATTTTTATAACAGCTGTTCTTTGCTATGAGGGTTGCATTACAATTAGCAATGAAACAAGGAGCAAGAGTTTAATTTACTGAAATAAAGAAGTCAACATTTATTACTTAATTTAAACTATGTAAGACTCTTTTATTGGAAGGAAGAACATTAATGAAATGTCCTCACATAAAGAATCCTCCTTCAAACATATAAACTCAATAAAAAGCAATACAGGGTATACACAAAAGAATGGTGCAACTGTGACTGGAGACTCATTTTTGGACATGTTGGAAAGCTGGTTGTTACCCCAACTGAATACCAATTATGACGATTACATTCTACAACTGAACGGAGCTCCCCCTCCCCCCATTTTCACAGGAATGTACGAGTGCTTCTCCATCGTGTTTTTCTACAGCGCTGGATCGGACGTGCTGTGGATGTGTGTCGTGTGACCCAAGGTGCACACACTGAAGGATTGCAATTAACACATGAGAAACTTGGACAGTTGTCGCCGCTGACGGTGTATGTTGTGTCAACTTTTGAAACTGCACCATTTTTTTGTGTATACCCTGTATATCAGTAAAAATATAAAACAGTGATTCAGAGAAACTCTGGTATACATTTACAATACAGTGACCACTTCCATTAGTGCACTTACAATTGTTTGTGTTAGGGACAGTAACCATAAATAAAACTCAAATTCAGGGGCAGGTCAGGATAACTGGCCACATTATAAACATGTTAGGTCTAATGAATAAGCAATAAATATACAGAATGACACTGTACTGCTGTTCCCAACTCTGACATAGTTCTGGGGATCAGTCAGAGACACAAACTGTTACAGTAGAAAGCAAATGTGATATGCAGAACTTACCACTATCAGAATAATGAAAGTTCTCAAGAAATTTGAGGCACTCCTCCAGGCCAGCAAAGATGGTAAATTCTCCTTGAAACGGATTCTTTCGGAAGTATAAGTCAAATACTGCTGTGTCGTTGATTTTTTCTGACTTCCAATAGGCATAGGCCATTGTAATCTGGTAGAGGTCTGTATGCAAAAATAAGTTGCATATCACAGCTCAAGCTTCTTTACAGCAAAAGTTATTCTGAACTCCATTAAATGCAAGTCTTATTTGTATGAACAATAATGTTAATGTATGTATTAAATTATTCAAAATTGAAACAATAATGAACAACTACATACGTGTTGCACTGTCAATAACATGAGCAATGGTTAACGTAAATTTCAGAATTTTTTACTTCGAGTACGCATAAAGTGTACAAGAGATGCAGCAGACCGAATGTGTGTGTGCGATAATACACGCGATGCCAAACAACATGCCGTTTTGTTCGTGACATACAGCATATTCATTCAACACCATGTATATACACATACACAAAATCAACTGCACACCTGCACTCATTGAAAACATAACCTACGTCAACTCTTCCATTACGTTCACATCAAATAAAGAACTAGTTATAATTCTTAAATGAATTAATGCGGTCTTAATAATGAAATAGGCATGAATATTACAATAATAACAAGTTTAGCGAACGTAAAACAGAACACCTACCTGTGAGCAACGGTTGAACGACTCCATTCTGCCGCGCTCTCTTCCGCCTGTCTTCTGATGGCGACGTCTTCCTTTCATCAGCCATATTTAGTCAGCAATGTGTCATGTAACCCTCACATGTACCACGATCTAACCAACGCGAGTAACAATCACCTACTGACATTTTTTTGCGGTCACGCGCGTTTTTCCTTCAACACCACTACGTAACGAGCGTTGCTCATGACACATATAATACCAACATGGGCACTAGACTGTGTTACGCTATCGATCATTTGGAGGTCAAAAAAAAAGACTAACGACGAAGCACTGAACAGGGTGGCCATTAACTATACTTTTTAGTAGCACAGAACATAAAATATACGATAAACATAAAATGTTTGGCGATACTCTTACCGCAACCATTTGGAATGTTGGAAAGAATCGTAATATCTGAAGTGACATTTAGTGCACCTATTGGCAAGAATTACCTGCATATTGCCTGATTCTTACGTAATTGTAATCAGTTATTACAGACAATGCAGCAGTAATGTTTATTGAACTCTTGTGCCAGTAACAAATTAGTATTAGCATTAAGATAAGCTGTGTAAATGAAATTGTCTTTAAATTCAAGCGAAATCTAATTCTTTTTGTATCAAATAACAAGCAAATGACTGGCTGTGTGCCAGAATACTCCGGGACTTCCCTCAATTTTCAACCAGGAAAACGATTTCGACAGGGTGAAATTGTGGGGGAAATAAACTTTGATAGATGTTGGTACATGAGGATGACAAAGCGTACGGTAAATCGTGTACCTTATGTAATACTCAGTAAAGCTGTCTCACTATACGCCATCTAGGCACTTGGGGGAAGAGTACTTTAGCTCCTACTCATTCTGAACCTCGGCACTAGATGGAGGTGAGTGGTCAGCGGCACGCCTCGGCCGCACTTTACCCCTGGGAAAGGACACCAGTACCGACGGATAGTAGGTTGGCCGGTCTGGATGCAAAGGCTAGCGAAAAAATCATGCGTCCTCGTCGGGGATCAAACCCAGGTCGGTCAGTCCGTAGCCAGTCACTATACTGGCTGAGGTACCCCGGGGAACAAAAATGCGAAAAAAACA